CGCGGACCAGATTTCCACAGGGTCGTGTTAGGGTCATCCATTTTATGATCCGGCCCGGCGGGCCGCTTTTATTTTTTATTTTTTTTACTGCTTTCTAAAAAATGACGGACCCAACCCGATCAAACAGGCCATTGACCCGACACAAGTATAGGTCTGTGCGAAGATACAGAGCAATTGTAAGGGTGAGCAATTGTAGGTGTGATGTTGTTCGGTCTAAAATCGAACCACACCACAAAAGTGTTGAAGGTAATATACTAACAACTTTATTTGACATATCATATTTTCGGTTCGGTTTAGTTCAACTCGGTTAAAAGTTTAAACTCCACCGTTCATACTTAAAACCGAACCGCACCAATTTTTTTGCAGTGTTCTATAATTCAAACTGCCCTCCAAATAACCTTTTAAAACGGAACCACACCTCATCGAATGCATCGATTGCCCCTTAAGATTTGTAAACATTGTGGGAGAGAAAAGTTCAAATTTTATATAAGCTTGCATTCAATGATGTTTATAAAATTGGCTTCTATTTGACCCCACTCAACTTGCATGGGATCAGGGTTTTCGCCAACTTAAAGCGGAGGTACATAGCTAGTGTGAAATGCAGATGATTAATGGCACCGGTCCTATTTCTGGGGCACATGAAGCTTTAGTCAAGACCATTAAGTATTTGTTCCAAAAGGAGTGGACTTTTCACTTCCGTCACGTGCATAGAGAGGCGAATTTTGTTGTTGATCATTTGGCGAGCTTAGCGTTTGTTGTTTCGATTAGTCTTCATGTGTTGGCCACTCCTCCCTCTACTTTTGGGTGATTGGCTCGAACATGATGTGATCGGGGTTTCTTATCCCTGCCAAGTTATAGTTCTAGCTTTGGGCCTACGACCTCCTTTCTTGTAAATAAAAAATAAAAAAATCAGCACATTTATTAAAAAAAAAAAAAAAGATTCCCTTTTTATTCTTGATTCTTGGTCCTATTTTCACACTTCCTGCTTTGTCATAGATTTGGTTTAAGACATAAACTTGACTTTAATTTAGCTCATAATGATATGGGTTCTTCCTGGAATTTACAAGCCAGCATTGTTGACCTGGTTTTTGCGTGTTCATTACCAAGAGTTCAATTTTGACTTCCTTTTTTTGGTCATTTATATATATATTTTGCATGAGCCTTGAGCTGCTTATACACATATCTTTACGTGCCCGTTTTACTTTTCAATTTCTTGAACAAAATCTGGTGCCAAAAAAAAAAAAAAAAAGAATCTTCAGCAGGTGCTGCAAAAGGCTCGTTTTTGTTGTGATTTTCGTTTTTAGTTGTGATTTCCAATTAGGAGAGAAGTGTCCTGCTCTCTCTCTCTTGTTCTTCTCCTTTGTTCTGTTTTTTCGGTTTGCGTTTTGTGTGTTTTTGTCGAGATATGATCAAGTGATTCGTGGAAAAATACGCAAAAAAGGGATATCGGTCGAGCTAAAATTGTATATATATTAAAAAAAATGGGTTCTTTTATAGGACATCTTATTCCAGGGACTTTATTTATTGTAGTTGGTTTTTGGCACTTATGGTCCTCTGTAGTAAGATATGTTTCGGACCAGAATTCTTTCCGGATCCGGGTTTGGAACCTGGTTCCCGGTTTTGGCGGTAGTTTCAAGTATTTGGAGTTGTATGTGATTGCAGTTGGAGCTTTTATCGATTTGTGCATCGAGTTTCTTTACTCGACTCATCTCAAGATTGTTGTTCACGGTGAGCTAAACCCGTCTCACATGAACGATTTCGAGCACTCAGGCATGCTTCTAATGTTCTTCATCTTTGGCGTGATCGCACTTCTTTCCGAGAAAACGAGGTTCGTTTTGTTTGGCAATTTTTAGCTTTTGATTATTGAACTTACCTAGAAAAAAATATGATGTTTCTTGTCATGTTGATTTTTCCAATGTTGTGTTTAGGGCTGCAAACGAACCGAGCGGCTCGCGAGCACAACGCTCGGCTCGAGCTCGAGTTTGATCGAACTCAAGCCGAGCTCGAGCATGTTATCGAGTCGATCTCGAGCATAGGTTTTGAATGGTTGAGCGACTCGCGAGCGGCTCGAGATATATAGTGAATTACTAAAATATCTCTTATGTATAATTATTACAATATTTTATATATCTACTTAATGGTAATTTTACTTGAAATTCGAGTCGAACTCAAGCTAAGCTCGAACATTTTGATTTCAACCGATCTCGAGCCAAACTTGAGCGTTGTCTTCTTTTGTCGAGTCGATCTGGAGCGTCATAAATCGAGCTCGAGCAGATAAAAGAAAAAATCAGTCTTGCTCGAGAAGGCAATGCTCGACTCGGCTCCGCTAATTTGCAGCTCTAGTTGTGTTATTGTTTTGGCAATACTTTTACATGTTGTGTGATTAGTGTTTGTCTGACATTTTCGTTTCAACTCTTCTCGGCGGTTTGTATCATATTCATAGTTGAATATTTATAAGACCTTAAATCTCTGCAAATTTTACTGAACCGAGCGTTGAATTTTTGCCCTTTTTTTTTTTTGCAGCTTTATTCCCTTGTCAGAAGAAGCTCTATGCTTTGTAGCTACTGCTGCATTCACAGCCGAGTATCTGTTATTCAATTTCCACTCGACTGCACACACTGGACTCGAGAGATATTACCATTCGATTCTATTGCTCCTTATATCCCTCTGCATAATATCAACTTTAGCCGCAGCCTTCTTGCCGAAAAGTTTCACAGTCGATGTATTCAGTGGCATCGCCATAACTTTACAAGGCCTTTGGCTTTACCAAACGGCGTTTGCTCTGTACGGACCTATGATTCCTAACGGTTGTCGATTTAAAGACAACTCCATCAATTG